GACCAACCGCCCCCCCCCCCCCCCCGCCCTCCGCCCCCCCAATCCCCAAAATGTGATTGTTTAATTTGAGTAATTTACGAGGCTGTAAGCCCGAGGCAAACATTTCTCATAATGAATGTATGAGGGTGTCAGGCCGCGAGCAATAAAATATATATATATTTTTTTTTGTGCGGGAAGAAACAAATGTATTGTATTTCTCCCCTCGCCAGCGCATTAGGTGATCATTCATGGATGACAGCGGTATTACCGGAGCATCCAACCTTGAAATATGAAGGACCACTCTGGAAACTTTCCGTGGGTATAATCATGTCTGCTGGAAAAAAAAAAAAAGGTGGGGGGGGTGCTGCAACACAGAATTTGAAATGAGCATATTAATTTTTTTTTTTTAATACACAAACACACACACACACACACACATTTCGCCGACGTATTTATACATCGCCTCGAAGGTAGTCGTGAAGAAAGATGAAAAAGCCGGCACGTATCTTTGGCATGTATCGCTGTTATTATGTCGGGCAACATCTGCTGACGGTCTGAACCTCCGGCGGTGGCACCAATCCCGTCCTGCGCGACTGAATTGCAAACATATAATCTGCCGTCGGGCGGATTACCAGCTGACCGCGGCGGCATGGAAATGAGGTTAGCCAGCCGTCGTTTTCGGAGAGGCTCGTCCTAATCTGAAAATCCCTCCGCAGAGGTCAGAGAGAGAGGAAACTCGACGACCACTTGCCGGATGACTGCCGATTCCGTTGGGATTGCGCCGATGCGGTTGAAAAGCTGCCCCCCCTGTTCCGTCGGGATTGAATCTACGCGTTTTCAATGTTCGCGGGAATTAGTCCTGAAATCATTTGATTGATTTTAGAGCTGATCGGGGAGTTGAAAAATAATCATAATTCAGTAACAGATCACAGATCTGATTAGAAGATGGACCAATCCATTTAAAATTTGGGGGAAATACACAAAAATCTTTGTTTTTTTTTTAAATCTGACTGTATAAGATGAGAAATTAATAATAGCACAGAACGTCCCCGGAGTGAACAAGATCATCTGGATTATTATGATTTTTTTTTTTTTTTTTTGCAAACCCCCCCAAAATGCTTCAAAAACATTCATCAATCTCCAAGAATCATTTACCACAAAAAACAAGCCCCACCCCCCACATCCCCCCCAAAAATAAAAATTCAGTGTCAGGGGCCTACCCCCCCCATCACCCCCCCCAACAACATTCGTGATAGGGCTCAGTTATCGCACTTCCTCGACTCTTCGAATCGTCGCCCCGTGGGGAAAATCTCAGCAGTGGCGTCAAGTCACTCCATCGGAGGCGCCCGTTTAATATTCAAGGAGCGGCTCAGGAGGCGCCATGCGACCGAGTGAACAGACCGCGACATGCCAAACCAGTACCGCAAATCCCAAGCGGGACACTTTTTCTTCCGTGTGGGTGAAGCTAACCGAGGGGACCTGGGGAAACGCAACCCCCCACCGATGCCCAACTTCCCCTCAACCCTGCCTCATTAAATTTAATGCTGCCTTTTTGCGAGCCATTTAACCGATGACAAAAGGCCATGTGTCAATCAGTGTTTGCGCAGGGGATCCCAAACCACCGCGGCGGCTGCACCCAAAGGGGGAACTCAAAGCACGTAAATCAACCACCAAAAAAAAAAAATGTGTTCGTTATATTATGAAATCGAATCACGGTCAACCCAACTTCTGCGCGTTGTTTCTTGACACCAAGATTTGGGCGAAAATAGGAATTTGCGAATGCCAAACCATGTGCGCGTTCTCTATGTTCTTTTTTAATCATTATTTGTAATTTGTGGACATGGAAAATGGGATTTGGTTCTTTGCTTGACCGATTGGTTGAGCGAGCCGGTAGTCAAGCCACCTGATCATAGTTTCTTTCGAATTTAAAGTGGACAACTTCCTCCCACTTGTTCTGAAAGGAGCGCATGCCGTGATTCCGAGACCCCCCCTCACCCCCCCACCCCACACACACTTTCGCAATCATATCCTCCATCTGCTCTTCCAGATGATTCAGGCTCACGTTGGTCCTCGCTTACTGTCCGTCTCCATTACCTTCCGCCGCCCACGCCCTCCAACGTTTGTAGCTAATGCGCACACGCGCATTAGCTACAAACTTTTTTTTTTTGTCCTTTTCTCCTTGTCTTGTTTTCTCAAGGTTCTTACTGAGAGCGAGCTACAAAAAAACCCCCAAAGGAACATGACATGGTCGACGTGTGCTGAAATTTTAATCAGGAGCAAAAAATGGGGCCAGCACAAAAATCCTGTCTCTTTTTTTTTTTTTCATTTATTATTATTCTTCAGTGTACATTTGCACAGATGGACTCTCTTTGCTTGTGTTCCTTGTGTGTGACTCACCCAATGTGTCCATCTCTGACAAGAGTGGAGGCAAAGCCAACGTGAAATGAACTGAATGTGTTTCCTTGATTTTTTTATTTTTCTCCCTTGGCCTCTTGGTCATGTTGAGAGCGAATGAGAGGACGCCAAATAATGGCGAACACCCTCTTTCCTCGTGCGACCAACACTAAAACGCAATTCTTGCAATTCTTGTGTGTGTGTGTGTGTGTGTGTGTGCGCGTGTGTGTGTGGTGATGGCGACAGACAGAATTGTCACAGCGTGAAAGGTGGTGCAGAAAATAGCCCTTTATTGAAAGACATTTTGGGGCTATTTGTTGGGCTGCGAAATGGGTTTAAATTGCACGAAAAAAAAGCAATACGTGTTCGGTAGAAATAACAACAAGATTGGAGTTTTTCAATGGGCAGCATGGTAGAGACGAGTGGTTGGCACATTTGACTCACAGTTCTGAGGTTCCGGGTTGGAATCTCGATTATTTGCCTGCGTGCATTCTCCTGGTTCGCCGTCTTCCTTGCATATTTCCAAAACGTGTTTCTAAAGTGACTCTAAATTATCCTTAGGTGTGGATGTGAGTTGAAATGCTTGTTGTTCAACATGTGAGCCGTGATTGGCAAGCGACCAATCCGGGGTATACCCTGCTTCTTTCCCCAAATCAGATGGGATTGACTCCCAATTTACTCACAACCCCAATAATGATAAACAGAACAGTGAGCCCCAATATTCAGGGGGATGGGGATCGAGCCCTGTGGCTTTAGATTTTTTTTTTTTTTTTTTTATTGAAGTCTCATAGAACCACAACTTTTTCCTTAATATAAAGATTTTGTTGAAAAAAAGTTGATGCTTTTACCACAACATGAAAAGACATTTCTCCCCCAAACTTTTTTTTTCTTTGGTCGGAGCAAAAAAAAATTAAAAAAAACCCACGCTTTTTACCGCATAATGGAGGATAGCTTTGAAAAATATTTTGCCAATAGGCACGCTCTCAAAAGTCTAACCTTGAATCATGTACCATCTGAAACAATTCTGCTCAATCATTTATGATAATTCCATTTTACAAAATGATACTCAACGAAAAAGTGCGGCGATTAAAAACGGAATTGTGTGTAATCCGCCCGAAGGTGTATGACTGCGACCTATTCCGACACGCAATCACAACCGAGGAATATTAGCGCGTATGTGACACTCTATTTTGTTATTCTGTGTCACGTTGTCGTGAACCGCCAGTCGGGTTAATAATTCATGCTAATTCATGCCTGCTGCTCGCGCCATTTGTATTTATAGCGTGGGGCTAATTGCCACTTCCTGTCACCTAATTATTCCCCGCACTGACGCTGCGATCCCGCACTCGCCGTGCTAATCGACGTATGTACGTGCGAGTCATTTAGCACCCCCTGCGCGATGAAGCCGACGCCCTTTTGCACGTGGAGCGGCTCGGGTTGCTATGTACATACCGTACAGTATAAGGCCCTGTTTCATCGGCGCATTGGTATTCACCTCGTGAGGTTCGCTGAGCGTGAAATAGAAGAGTACACTTTTCTGCGGGTAAACTCTCAGTGGAGCAGTGAACAGGCTGCTGCTGCTGCTGCTTCTGAGAAAAAAAAAAAATCTGCCACGGATACCGTCAGGCAAGAAAAAGCCGGTTGTATAACTGAAAGTTTTCTGTGCTGTCGTTATAAAGAAAAAGATTGAATTTCTCTCAGGCTTGTCTGTATTTGCAATAGGACGGCTCGTCTTGGAGTTGTGGCTCAACTTCCCTTCGACGGAATCAATAGTGTCCCTGCCGGTTGCGTCCGTGCATTTTTACAAAACACACTGCGTATATATGGCACACAAATACAATTTCATCCCCCAAAAAAACGGTCAGGAATGGAAGGTATCGTTGTTTGGTATATGTTCAACCACAACGGTCGAAAGTCGATCAAATTCCAGCACGTACTTGGGTGACATGTTTTCTCATGCAAATTCAGCAGACACACACAAAAAAAAAATCAGCATTTTATATTGCGAAAATTTAATTGTTGTCCAAATGAGTTTCGTTCCATCAATTCAAAATGACAATACAAGCAATCAATCGGTGTAAACATTTGTTCAGTCCATCTTGCGTTTCAATTTGCAACAATAACCGACCCATTACTCGATTCGAATGCGTAGACTTACAAGTCGATCGTAGTCAAATATGATAAATTCGCCGTCCATTTAGTCGATTGCCCGTTAGCTTGCGAGTTTAGCTTGTTTTGTATATTACGAGCAATCAATGGGCAAAATACGTTTCTTCAGCTATGACACACTAGGCAAATATTTCAAATGGCTGCATATCTTTTGTCATTCATTGAAAACAATCATTCGGAACACGGTATTTGCACTGCTGCTGCTCTTTGTCCAAAATCATCCTAAATGTTTTTTTTTCTTTTGTGCATTCCTTTTCCAGGTTGTTAGCAAACTGCGGAAGGACAATCAAGTGGACAGGAATGGTCTTCAGAGGAAAGACTGGCACAACTATGAAGCCATCAAAAGGGATGCCTCCAGATCTGGTGCGTCTGCCACCGCGTGTACTCCCCGCAATGTCATTTCAACATTTTTGGGGGGATCCCGCTGGATCGCCGCTTCCCGCCATCTTGTCAGCCAACTGTGTTTGCTTGATCCAGGGAACGGCGAGCAGGGCAAGCCGTTCCCCCTGACGGACGCTGACCGGGTGGACCAGGCCTACAGGGAGAACGGTTTCAACATTTACGTCAGCGACAGGATCTCCCTCAATCGGTCCATCCCTGACATCCGACATCCCAAGTGAGTCTCATCTTGGTCTCGAATCCGCAGGGCCTCCCTTACTTTTCTTGACATGTTTCTCTTGAGAGCAGATTGTACAGTAAATGCGTGTTTGTGTTTGTGTTTGTAGCTGTAAACAGAAGCTGTACGCCGAGAAGCTGCCCAGCACCAGCATCATCATCCCGTTCCACAACGAGGGTTGGTCGTCGTTGCTGAGGACCGTCCACAGCGTCCTCAACCGCTCGCCTCCGCAGCTCATCGCCGAGGTCATCCTGGTGGACGACTTCAGCGACAAAGGTCAGGCAAATAAGAAAAAGCAAACACAGACGAGGCCTTTGCTGCTGGCTGAAACACGATCAGGACGACTGACCTACTTTTGACAACTTCCAATCTAATATCAGGTGACCTGGCGGTCGTAACTTTAGGTTAGGGACTAAATGCGCAGGTACCAATTGCCCGGCCCGCCCCCAGAAATTCACCGACGTGCTGAGGGAAGCGATTGCATTGAAACGTGCTCGTGCAGTGGCAAACGTTTCCGCCCACGTCGGCGAGGAAGCGCATCTCGCGACATTCCTGTCGAAATATGAATGTTTTCAAGAGCGATCCCCTTTGCCCTCTCCAGTCGCCTGCCCCCCCCTCGCTTCCCCGCTAGCTTCCTCGCCTACGCTCGACGGTGACTCAGCCCAGCGCACGCAAATACTGGAAGTCTCCTGTCACCTGGAAGCATTTCAGACAAACTCACTCAGCTCTGCCGCCGCTCATTTTGTTCAGCAAGCGGCTAATGAGGAATCTCGTTTTTGCTCGTCATCAGCCGAAAGTCGTCAGCACGTCGGGAAATAAGTGTCCGCCAGCTTTGCGATTTGTAAAATCCGAGAAATAGTCAACAGCTGTATTGTTATACGTGTGCTGTTAAGGGGCGTGGTCTAGTGACTGACATCAGGAACGTGTCCTGTTAGTCTGTGTGAGTGTGTGGGTGTGAGTTGTGGCCGACAGCAGATCCTCGCGAGGGTTCTCATTTTAGAATTGTGTGTTTTGATCATGTGCCTGAAAGTGCCTCAGCAAATGTGGCTCTCCTTGCCCACATGTGAGGGCATTACCCTGCCTCAATTGTTCAAATTTTTTGGGCTTAAAAAAAAAAAAAGACATTGATTTCAATGCTTTCATAAAGGCGGATTACACTCAATCCCAATCTCCTGAGAATCCAGGGCGGTGTGCAATTTGGCGCCTCCCCAAATGGGAGGAAATGTGTGAATTGACCTCAAGCGAGGATAGCTAATGAAGGCCACTTGAGGGGGGAAAAAACAGTTGGTTACGGCTAGAAATAGAGCAGCGGGAGCACGTTTGGGCATTGAGAACAGGGCGACTCGCTAATCCTCCTTTCGGGGTCGATGACGAGCTCCAGCCCGGAGACGACGAGGTCGGCTCGCTCCTCATTAGCCGCTAACTGAATTTCCACGGCCCGTGCAGGGAGCCTGTTCAAGCTTCGCTCCCCCTGCAGGAGGCGGTGTGGCGGGGAGGGGGCGGACATTGGCCTCCCCCAGCATCCTTTCAAGGTGAGCCCAGCTAATGGGCTCGTCTCTCGGCGGATTCCTCTGCTCGCCATCTGTCCTGCGCCGAGATGGAGACCGGTTCAGGGTTGGAGTTGATGAATTCTGACCCCGGCGGCTGTTAGACAGCCAAACTGTGAAAACAACCACGTGGACCGTTAAAACGCTCGCCCGCTGTTGGCTTTAGCTTCCATTTTAGGTCCGTTTCATGACCATTAAGTCGTAGTTTTACGGGGATAGTGTTTTGGTGCTTCCCAGGATACTAAACATTTTGTCAGAATAAAGGCACACTTTTCATCGGAATAAAAACCTATTTCGATTTTTTTCGAAGAAAGTACAGATTTTATAAAAAGAGTCAGCATATTTTGAAGAAACAATTTTGTCATTTATGAGAGTAAATGTGTCCTAATAGTTGAAAATAATCCGGATATTGTGTGATCAAAGTTATCATCTCACATGAACGGTGAACGTAAATACACACAGAAATAAGAGCTGTAATTTCGCAAGAGCATATGTTTGGTCAATGTTGGAGGATGAAAGCTTGGATTTTATGAAAACAATCCAATAGTATGAGGGGAGAAAAAGTCTTAATTTAAGTCACATCAAATCCAGAAGCTAAGCAGAGCTGCAATATTTTTGGATGCGCCAGTTTCTGACCACTTCAGATCCAAAGCGAAGCTGCCATAGGTGGTAAGAATGCCTTCTTTAAATTGCTCCATATTATTTTTCGGTACGTATGAAAAAGGATCAAGGGCCCTTGCCCCAAACTGAACAAGATGTCAGCCTTTTTGGTTTGAAGTAGCCAATTTGAGGGAATTCCAAGGCCCAAAAAACAATGTGCCCCCGACACCAGTGTCACCTCTCGTCAGGAAATCGGCCAGAAAGTAAACAGGAATGTAGCCATTCCACTATTGAAGCTGATTTTGTGCAAATTCTGCGACTCAGACTTGAACGAGCTCCTTACTTGGGAGTTTGCCCGGCTTTGTTGCTATTCTTTCAGTCGAAATTGGGACTGACATTAGCGCTGCTAATTGCAGCTGTAACTGGCAGTCATCCAGCTTAATGTGCTTCCTCCGCATACCCAAAAACAATTACAAACGCGCATTTTAACTACGACGCACCGGGGGGGGGGGAATGGGGGAAAAAGAATGGACGGCACTGAGTAACGAGATGACAAAACATTGGAGCGGGCGTCCTTTTTATTCTTTTTATTATTTAATGGCGTTCCCCGTTGAGCGAAAAGGGCACTCTCGTCAAGCGTGCCCAACCAATCAATCGGCAACAGATGAGGAAAGAAGCCGGATGCGGATTCCGAGTGTTGTTTGAATACGACGCGCACACGCACGCCTCGCTCGTTCATACCTGCGCGTCAGTTAACGGCGATGAAAGCGGAAATCTCGAATCCAGTTGAAGGTGTTGACAATAACGTCAACAAATCTCTGAACTCGGTCGGGGGCACCTGCACTGTTTGTCCTGACGCAACGTTTTGCATGATTGAATCATATTCTTCGGTAGGCCTGTTTTTCGCCCAGAAAAATTGATCCGGTGCTGTCCAGATTAATCAATTTTGCCTTTCAGCGTAATTAAAATCAGCTATTTTAATTTCAGGGCTGCCCCCCCCCCATCCTCCTCTTCACTCACACATTGCAAATCCGCTGGCCCATCTCAGCAATGACTCCCTTCAAGGACTAATGCGCCCCGTGGGGGTTAGTAT